CCTATTCAAGGTACTGGTTACTATGTATGAAGCCCTACAAAGATTTTTCATGGGCAGCCATAATAAATTTAATAAAATAAATAAAAGTACATGGCATAGGACTAGGCTACTTGCCGGACTGTCTGTCCTGCATTGTTTCAGCCTGCACACCAGGTCTAGCAGGGAGGGCATGCTCTGGATCCTCTCTATCAAGCAACACTACTTCCACCAAACTGAGTTGTTTAAACCCACCTTGGCTTTATGCCAAGTAGAAGCAGAAGCAAATTTGTGATATTCAGCAGGTCCTTGAGAAATGTATGAATATCAGAAAGAAAGTCTATTAGATATTGGTTAATTTAGTGTATGATAATCAAGATGCTTCAGAATAAATGACTCCTTAGTGAATGGTTCAACACTGAGCAAGGTATAAAGATGTGGTTGTTTAATGTATTTATGGACAAATGTATTTATGGGTAAACGTGTAAGGACTCCCTGTGAGGACATTAGAGGTGTATTGGTTGAGGATGTGTATATATTTTTGTATGGAGATGATGCCACATTATTGGCTGAAAACTTGAACGATTTCAGAGAAGGTTAGATTATAAGATACAATGAGGATATGAATCTGAAACTAAATGGCTTGAAGACCAAGATACTTGTGTTTGAATGGAAAAAGGAGAGGATGATGGCATGTAATATATAAATGGATAAAGTAGATGATTTTGGTAAAATGTTTACTAGGAATATGTACATGTGAACACTGGTACAAAAGTAGAGGGTAGTGTGTAAAGAGAAATCAGCGTTTCTTACAGGAAGCAAAAATGGCTGGGCATATTTTTCAGTCTGTTTTGCTGTCTGGATGTGAGAGTTGGATAGGTCAGAAAAAAAACATAATAGTATGTTGACTGCAGTAGGAATGGGGGTGGGTGGGTTAAGAAGTGTGTGTGGTAAAACAGGAAGAGATAGGGCTACAAAGGAATGGGTGTTGAATGACTATGGACCAAAGATAAAAATGAGTGGCCATTATGAAAGAAGTGGGTAGAGGTGTCATACAGAGTGAATGACAACTGAATTATAAAACAAATATATGAAGGAATAAGTGGATTTAGAGGAAAGTGAAGACAGATAAAGTTACACTTCAATAGAGTTGAAGAGATCCTCAAAAAGTGAGAACTGAGGAAGTTAAAGAAGGAAAGGGGATGCTCTAATTGGTGGTGGAAGCAACAATAGTTTGAAAGGATAGAAAGAACAGATACAGTGAATGGTTGTGTTTAAACTAGTTTTTGTTAGATATCTTATTTTCCCATAGTTCCTCCCTTTAATTTCTTTTGCCTGCTGTTTCTTACTCTTTTTCTGTCCTTTGCATAATACTGCTTACTCTGAAAGGGCATGAAGAACATGATGGATATGTGTGTATGACAAATTTAGATTTGTCTTGGCTTCTCCTACTGCTTTTTGGAGTGTGGCCACCGGCATGTGCTC